AAAGTAGACAGCGAGAGAGAAGCAGCAGTGACTCTCAAAGATCAAGATGTGCAGGCTCTTCAGCTTCTAGTTCGAGGCCCAAAACGTCAAGACACTCCCGTTCCTCACATGACACAATAGAAGAAGAGAACGAGGAAGATGAGGAATCAGCAGAGGAGGAGCATAAAGGAGGGAAAAGCGCTGGATCACGAAAATCCTCCACGAGCAGGCACAACGTCCAATCAGACATCAGCGCCGGTTTGATGGACACCTCCGATGACTTGTCACCCATCATCGAGGACACAGAGGAGGAGAAGAGCAGCGGCCACGGCGAAGGAGGAGACGAGGAAGAGGGAAAGGGGGATTCTGAAAATGAGCCCACAGATTGAAATGCAGATGAGGCCTCAGCCCCTCCGCAGATTACATTCTTTGCCACTGAGTAAGATCTTGTTGAGAATGCCTGGTGTGCAGTCATTACCTGTGTGGAATCTATTACTATAATCTCTCTTTTCCTCGTTTGCTGTGATTTACATCCACAGGCGTTTAAATAAGAGTCTCTCTTATTGTTGCTCTTGAATCCTTTTTTTCCAATCAGACGTTCCTCCTCTCCCTCCTTCTCTGATAGAAGTGGTTGGTTTACTTCCGTAGATTTCATTTCCCTTTTGTGAACGCTCAACTTCCTGCTGCTCTTTTCTCTGACGCTGTGGCTGAAAGGTTGTTATTCACCGACCTCTTTGTTCCACCGAGCTTCTTACATGAGTAATTTCTTCTTCTGTGTCCATCATTCTCCCTGTATCAGTGAGTTCTTCCAATACCTGTTATCAGCAGGAAGGAGAACATACTGTCTTTTCTTTGTAAGGATGATCATGTTCTTTCTACCTTGCTCTCTGGGTTAAATGGAAAAACTGAGTGTCAATCTGAGAAGTTATTTACTTGGCAGACATTTTCTTCTTCCACAATGTGCACTGCAGTGTTTGCTCTGACCTAACACAGAGATGGCATAGTGCTTTATGTTACAAGGAGAAACATTGCAGATATAAGTGTTCCCTCATTTTAAATATTTCCTTCAAAAATGACAAGCACTGCTTTGAATCGCTTTCCCACCAAGGAAAACATTCTGACCTTTTTTGCTGTGACGTGTGTTTGCAGTGTGAGTGAACTTTAACACTCTTTTCAAATCGATACTTTTTTTATTTTAAAGGACAAACATCTCAAAATTAAAATTGTCACGGATTATATTTTGACTTATGACCTTAACATTAGTTGAAGAAGTTGCCCTGATCCACAGTGGTACAAATTATGTTTTGTACTCTTTCTTTAAGGTCACCTATTATGCAAAATCCACTTTTCGTGTCTTTCATACATAAACATGTGTCCCCTCTGTGGAAAGAGATTCTGAACGTTTCTGGAAAAAAGATTCTCTCACTTTTCGTCCTGATCCATTTCTATAAAAACCTGTCTGAAAATGAGCTGATCAGATTTTGGCCACTTTATGATGTCATAACGATTTTTTGGCTTGTGTAACCATTAGCCAATCAGCAACCAAGGTAACCCCCCCCCCCCTCCTTATCACCTGAATCTCCTCCTAGAGCACCATTGAGTTCTTTGTAACCAAATATCTCTCAGAGGGGCGTGGGGAGGGGCTCCTTATTTTCATCTAAAGTAACAGACAGAGAATCAGCACTTTTGAAACAGGGCTGAAACAGAGGGGATTATGGGATGCTACAATGATCTGTTTGGTATTTGGAGTCAAACACTTCAGAGACATGTTTTGTATATATCCGAGACCTATAATATATTGATAAAAAAAGTATAATAGGGGACCTTTAAAAAAAAAAAAAAAAAATTCTCCAACATTTTCGCCATGTACACTAAAAGAAAACGCCCGAAAGACTCTTTTGTTGGATTAAATTCAGTGGACAGTATTCTGACATTTGTTATCTTTCTGTTTTTCCAGCCGGGCAACAGAAAGCGTCGGATCAAGTTGGTGGTGGACCGGGAATATGAGACCAGCTCCACCGGAGAGGAAAGCCTGCCGGAGACGCAGCGCAGCCGCCTCCCCCCCACCCTCAACAGCCACAGCAACGTGAACGGCAGCATCTACTTGGCCCAGAACGGCTCCATCATCCGCACCCGCCGCACAGTGAACGCCACATGTACCACACACACGCACAGCACCACCATGAACAACAACCTCAAAATCCCCTCGCCCGTCTTCAGCTCACGGCTGGCCAAGCACTTTAAAAAATTGGACAAAATGGCCGCCACACTAGAGGAGAGAGTTCCCCTGAACAACCCCCTATCACCAGCGGACAGCGGGGGCAACACGCTGCGCACTTTCCAAAGCTCGGGGATGATCGCCTCGGCAACGGCCACTTCCTCTTTCTCTAACACTGACAACAATAAGACGCTGAGTACGTTTAACACCCGGCAATCCAGCGCTTCGTTAGGATCCAGCACAAGCAACACGGGCCCCGACAGCGTGGAGTCTAAGTCAAACCTGCTCAGAGAGGCTCAGAGCGGCAGGGAGACGCCTCAGGGCCCGGGGGGGAGAGAGGAGCTGGGAGAAGGGGAGAGAGAGACGCAGGTGGACGTCTGTAGTGACGACGCTGGGCTGGTTGTGGGGGAGCCGCTGGAGTGTCCGAGTGACAGAACGCTGTCTGACGAGGAGGAGTTGTGGATGGGCCCGTGGAACAGCCTTCACATACCCATGACTAAACTCTGATTGAACCACTGTGCTCGCTCCTTATTGCTAAGATCATTAAAGACATTGTTTCTGTTCATTAGTCGTGGAACTAATGGGGATGCTCCAATCCAATTTAATCTAATTATCAGATCAGCTAAAAAGGTGAATTAGCACATCCTGGGGTTTAAAGTGAATTGTACTAAGAAGTAAGATTCATAACATATCAACTTAAAGATTTCATTTTTATTTATTTTTAAGGAAGAGTGAGTAGGATTTAGTGGCATCTAGTGGTGAGGCTGCTTACCCCTCTCTTTGCAAGCATGTTGGAGAACTACGGTGGCCTTCAGGTAAAAATGTGAAATGACTTCTCAGGTGCCAGAAACGGTCCGTTCTGGGCTTCTGTAGAAACATGGCGGTGTAACGCGGCAGACCTGCTCCCTGTGTAGATATGAAGGGCTCATTCTAAGATGACGGGAAAAAAACAATGATTCTTTTTTTCAAGTGATATTGACATTTCTACCAACACATCACGTAAACCTACAAACTCGACCTCTAAATTCAGACAAAAATAAATCTAAATGACCAATTAGTCAGCATCTGATTTACTTTTTGCCAGGTAACTAATTAAAACATCTTGTTTCTTAACTCAAATTCCCATTCAGAGCATCCCTTAAAGACACATGATCTAAGAGCTGCCACACCTTTGGACAACTGGACCTAGATTGAAAGGACTTTTTAATATTTCTACTTTTTAAGAGATAATGAAAGAAACTTGAGGAAGAGATCTTTGAACTTTGTATGGCCCTTTAACCGATTGGTGTCTGTATAGAAGCGCACTTGTTTCATTCAGGATTACAGCGACTCATCTTGAATATGTCTGACACTTTGCATTGACACGTGAAGTCTTGTATTGTTCAGAATTGCCTTTTTATCCTTGTCAAGTTGCTTGGCAAACTTTATCCAAATAAAAGACTATTTCATCCATTGAAACGTGGAGTTTGGCTAACTTGGTGATGTGTCTACTATATCTAGAAGTAACCAGAGATAGCTGTGCTAAAATAAGGCTTTCTTAAGGTCTAATGAAGTGTATGGATTAATGGGTGTTTTAACACTTTTTACACTTTCTCACAAAGAGTCAAGTGAGAACATTGATGGCGCTCTGAGAGACTACCTCTCGGCATAATTACAATTTAAAGTGTCACATTAAAAAAAGCGAGAATATCCCAATTTTGAGTCTCATCAAAAGTGTTCCTGTTTAGCTTAAAGAGTTTATTTTAAATCGCCTAATCCCACTAAGAGATTCTCTGTAAGGAGCAGGTGGATCATTCTCCCTCATAAAAGTTCATCATCATAAAGGTGGGAGAACTTTTTAATTGTGAACCACATTACAGTGAATTATGTCATTTGAAGTCTGGAAGAAGCTGGACCATTAAGCTGCAAAATGACCAGTTTTAACTCTCACATTTAATTTGCTGACTGCATAATTTCGCACTAAGGAACCCAACAGAGGGTGCCACATTATCGGTGGTGATATTTAAACCCGAGTGCTTCTTATTAGCCGGAATTAGCAGACTGTACAGAGGAGCAATATTTTAAACAGTTTCTGGAAGAAAGGGCACGCCTGAGCCGCCGTTACTGATTCAACTAAATGAGCTGATTATGTCCCTGACTTCTGAGTCGACTTCGTTGTGAGAGGAGAAGGCGAACATGGCTCATTAACGTGAAACATGAATAGATATGATTGGTGGCTGAAATTATGTTGGAAAGGGTATTTCTGATTTATCATGTATGTTTTAGTCCAAATGTTTTACAAAGTTTTCTTTTCTTCTTTAGTTTGAGGAAGTGATCGCAGGGCGTCAATCATTCACGGCAAAAACTAATAAGAAGCATGTAAATACTGTTGTAGTTGTACATTTACTAAAGAACTGTATTGTATCATGAATTTGTCTATAAGGATTACTGTTTTCTGTTACTAGAAAAAATACATGCATTTCCTGGAGACTTATCCTAACCATAACCAACACATGCCTAACCCTAACCATAACCAACACATGCCTAACCCTAACCATAACCAACACATGCCTAACCCTAACTCTTACCCTAACCAAGTCTTCACCCTAAAATGAATGATACCCCTCCATTATGTCCCCATAAGGGAGGCGAGTCCCCACACGTGACTGTGTAAACAGATGTAGGCCCCCACAAGGATAGTAATGCTAGCACGCACACACACACACACACACACACACACAACACACACACACACACACACACACACACACACACACACACACACACACACACACACACACACACACACACACACACACAGCAGCAGTAAGATATGTATTTTTATTGTGATCCTGCTAAATGACAATTACACCATTTCTCATACATTTAAAAATTCAAGTAAATAGACAAATGTTCACTTGTACACATCATAACATGAATAGTGAATGTTAAAGGGTATACTGCACATCTTATGAAACAACAGAGTGCTAATAATGAAACACATGTCATAATCAGCGGATACAACGAATACAGCAAAATGGGTATTTATTATCCAAATAATAACAGGACAAATTGTCGGCTTTATCCACATTTCTGAAAACTCACGAAATAAAAGTAATTAAAAGACGCTGCTGTGTGCTGCAGAATAATATATCAGGCGTATGAATACTATACTGAATATTTGACACAAAGTAAAATACTTCTCTAGTCTCTAAATAAGTTTGAGTAAAGTCAGGGCAGTGGAGAATTAATCCTCTCACATATTCAAATAAATAAAAAACTACTTACAAGAAAATACACAAACAACAGATAACCGCCAACCAGGGCTTCACATTAAAATAAATAACATCCAAACACACATTTGTCTCAGGTTCAACACATTAAGAAATGTTACATTCAGAAATGAGGTCTACATGTTAGAAAGAAGGGAGAAACAGAAAATGTCCCTCTCTGTTTAAAGTCAGTGTGGTTTTCACATAGTTATATAAGCAGTTGCTAGTTATCACACGTTTAGAGTTGTGGTTTCTTGGATCACAATTTAAATCTAGATTTAGATCACGGTTACTTTACCACTGATAACAGGTAAGCTTTGTGTGTGGATAAACAAATCAAGAAAAGGAGTTACGAACCAGGGGTAGAACTTATTGCACTAACATTGAACATCATTACTTGGCAGTCTTATTTAAAGACAGATGAAAGTCGAAGGACACACATTATTTTTGCGGAGCATGGTTGATAAAAAACATTTTCTATAGAATTATACTTGGTGTCGTTCATGTCAGAAGAAGTGTTGGTTTGTGTGTTAAAAAGAGTCATTCTTAACCCCAAATTATTTTTGAGTTAACACCACACACAACTACAGATCTAATGAAGGACATGTGTCCAAATAATGTTGGATAAGGATTTTTGGGTCTGTTTTCTTATCTTCGCTTACTAAACAGTGCGTCGATATATTGTTGGGCTCCTCAAGGATCTACATGACAACGCTAGAAGGAATACTTATGTATTAATATCTGAATGCCAATTAAAACAATACTTTAAAAAAAGGGTAATTCACACTTAGAAATATGGAAATGTTAAATATCAAAACATAAAAAAGGCCCCAAGTTAATCAAGTTTAAGTAAACATTCTGAAATGAGCAGTAGAAATAGAGAAATAAAGAAAAGTCTAACATCATTATGGACAATCTATCAATACTACTCATCTATAAAGATATTGCATTTCAAATAAATCTAAAGTCAAATGTAATTTCATCTGTTTTTTTAGAATATTTTTGTTTGGGGAATTTTACAGTTGGGCATAAACATTTGAGTTCGACAAAAACAATCCAAACAATTATCTCATGCTTTCCTCAAATCTAAATCTGTAACTGGGCCAAACTTGTTTGACCACCTCACAACAATCAAGTCTCTCTTTTTCAGACAGATGAAGAAAAACACGGAAATTGACAGCAAAAGGAAAAATGTGCAAAATATTGTTTTAAGAAGATCTGGCTGTGTTTCTGGAAACGATCTTAAAGCTATTATCATTATTCCCAACAGAAAGAGGAGTGATTTATTAGTTTGAAGCTTTTTAACTCGTGAAACCAGTGAACATGTTAACGAAGACAGATTTGTAATCCTATATTAGAAAAGGTAATCAGATCATTTTATCAAAAAGTATTGCATGGCCACTTTTGTTAAGACAACAATGTTTTCGGAGGATGTTTGTAGCATTACTTAATGAACTTGTATGTGTTCTATTGGCAAAGACGCCATAATTAATAGTGGACAATGATAACAGAATTAAAATGCTTTGTGAAACCAGCCAGATATACAACTACACAATGAATTCATTAACTGTAGGGCAGTGTTGCAACATTTGAAGGCACAGCAGAAGGGCAAATTCATAAACAAAGTGATAAGGGATGGTTTCACATTTGCCCTGCACACATTAATGTTGCATACTGCCTTGAAATGCTGTCCACGTATCGTCACCTTCCGGGCAGCGACAGAAGTGTCCAAGAAATCGCCCAAAGCACTGCTTCTTCACAGAATACCTGAGCATGTCACTGCTGTATCCTGTGAGCGCTGCCCGACCATGTGCCCTTACAGTACTGTGAAACTGGAACAGTACGAAATAACCAAACAAGCCAGCTGTTCAGCCTCCTTCACAACGCCCTCAGAAAAAAGAGCTCATACCTGAGAAAGAGAGAAGAATACTTTGAAAACCTCTTCAGCCTTCCACATCTCTCTTTCTGTACATGCCTCTGTGCTTCATTTGTGCGATACGAGCAGAGGGGGAACCAATAGTAAACCTTCTTGGAACCAAACAAAGTCATCCAATAGCAAACTGTGCTAGGACACCATCCGTCTCTCTAAACTCATTCAATCCAGAGGATATTTGCAGGCCACCTTCATCTCTTATGGTGTCATTTTTTGGGAGATAAAAACTGGCACTCGTTCCTCTTTATCCTTCAAGTGTGACTCAGGGAAGTGCTTCCTTTTCATCTGTGAGAAAAGGAATACTTTGAGACCCTGATCACACGCTGTATGACTTCAATAAGAGCAGCTGCCTCTGGTTCTCCGCCTCTCTGTGGAGCCGCTCCACAACCAATAAACCAAAAGAGCTTCCTGCCCCCCCCCCCCCCCCCTCACTGCTTCAAAGTGACGCTGGGTTAACTCCTGCCTGACCAAGCGAAGGGGCTGAGAGTCTGAATCACGTCCTTAACATGCTCAACTAACAAGAGGAAGCATCAGACGTAGACTCCTACGAGAGGAGCGTATCCCACAATCCCACAGTGTGTCGGACGGCTTTTTTTTTTTTTTTTTTAAAAGGAGTATCCTCCAAATGTAGAAGTAGTCAACCAAAGTCTCTCTCATCATTTCAGGATCTTCCAGTTCCTGAGCAGGTGGAGCTTCCAGGTGGAGGGGGTCAGAGAGGGGGTGGGCAGGTGGAGCTGCTCCCTAAAGGAGGAGGAGGAGGAGGAGGAAGAAGAGGTCTGGAGGAACCTTCCTGCCCCCACCCGGCCCTCTGCCACCCACACCTTCAGCCCTGCAGCTGCAGACAGACACCCTGCAGAGGAGCACAGATGAAAGACCCTCAGTAACATAATGAATGCTTCCATACTGCAGAGTGAGACAGCTGTTCAAAACAACAGATGACATTTGATGGAAATGTAATGTCAAACGTTACAACATAACACTAACATTGCAATGCACACAAGTTGAGATTTGTTATCTCTCTACACAATATGTATGTTAATGATAAGTATTTCAATCTTGAGCATTTTCTTTCCAGATATATCTACAGTAACTGCCCGTCCACACTACAGCTTCAAAAAAAGCTTGGAGCTGGGCGTGTCTGAAGCTCGACCAACAACCAATCACATGAATCTCCCGCCCCTGACACACAAGCAGCGGTTTGATTGGCTAGAGCTTGTACTGGCATATGATTTGATTGGCTGACGCTTCCACCGAAAGCTTCAGAAGCTTCAAAAGTTGAACATTGCTCAACTTTTGCAGCGTGAAACGCCAGGAAAGCTCCGCTCTGCTTCCCACAATGCAGTTCGGCGAAAAGTGACGTCACCCCATTCAAAGTGAATGGGCAGACGCGTTGGAAACCGTTTTTGAAGCTGTGGAAGCTGTAGTGTGGACGGGCCGTAATACATTTGCACTAGAATCATCTAGACTTTTTCCACACACATTTTTGACACTGCTTTGTTTGACTCAGCATAGTAGGACGAATCTAATGAACGTCTGTATGTTCGAGAAAGATTTTGTAATATAAAAAGAACAAGATTTTAAGGTTGGGTAGGATCCTGAATCAGGTGTATGCCGTCTAAATAATACCAACATTACACAAACTTCATTCAGATCCCTAATGCGGGAAAAAATGACATCATGACTATCATTTTTTTTTTTTGTGAGAAGAAAAGTGACTTTACATGCGTTACCAACACTTCAATTGAATCCCCAAATGTAACCCTAATCCTGTAGCAACACACGTCACAATCCACATCACCTGCTCCGCCAATCTGTACTGATGAATGCAACGTTCGAATGCTCCTTTAGTGATGTTAGGTGTTAGACAACATACGGTACCTCATGCACAGACCGCAGCCGAGCCTCACTCCTGCAGCTCGGTCAGAGCCACACAGCATGCCGCTCTATCATCCTTACTCTGCGCCGGGCCGTCCACCCCCCCGCCTGTCGTCATGCTGCGGCTGCGGCTGGTCAGCTTCTTCAGCTCGCTGGCGAAGGAAATGACTTTCTTTTTGTCTTCCCGCACCACCTGGGAGCAAAGAAACACGAATGTTACTGCAAATACAGACAGAATGTAGAGAAATGTGCATGTGAGTATTCTTCTACTAAACATGTAATACTTGTTGCCTCCTGTTTGATTGTGTGTTTTGTACTTTGAATAACTGCTGGTGTCGTATCCTGTCAATCATTCTTTCTGCGGTCATTATTTAAAGAGATGAATTGACATGCTTCAAATATTAAACTTGTATTTATTGAGGCAGCTCATATGAACATTCTAACTTACAAACATGTCAGCACAAAATGCCTCAAGTATAAAACAGCAAGAAATAAATGAAATAAATACTGACAGACAAAATATAAAAACATCATATATATAATAGTTATGTAACACAATTAACAGATAAACAAACACTTTACAGTAAATCACAAAATCAAAAGCAGTTCAAACAAGCGGAGCAGCATTAGGTTCAAAAGCACATACAAGCCATCATGCAGGTGTGAAAATACAACATGGCGGAGTTGAGATGAGAATGAGCAGCATGTTAGTGGAACAGTAAAAGTTCCTGAGAGCACATACAAAGTAAAACATGGGAGTGACGTAATTCACAAACACATGAAATGAGAACATGGAAAATAAGCACTAAAAGGTCTCTATCGCAGGAAATAGGTCAGCATGTTTAGAGCTACCTGCTCTTTGAATTTCAGAATGAACTTTCCCGCGCCCCTCCAGCGGCTCTGAGCCTGGTAGACACACTCGTGATCCAGCAGCACCCGCTGCAGGGGCTTGGACGTGGAGGACTTCTTAGAGCCGGCGTCCTTCGTCACTTCCTCCATCAGGACGTAGTCACAGGGGTTGGGATTAGCTAGGATAGTGTAGGAGTACTTGGCTTTTGACAGAGTCTAGACGGATAGATACATGGTATGAGAAACAAGTTAAGCCACTTTAGGGTTAGTGTGCAAATCTTGAAAGTTTAGAATCCTTAAAACAGCTGTCATGGTCTCATCAGGTGCTTTTTGACTCTCCTCACCTGCTGTATGATGTCCTGAGCAGTGCTGTAGCGTGGAGCTTTGATCACAGTGTGCGGCTGCTCTGGTGAAACTTCATGGACCTGGACGAAGAACATATCTTCCTCCAATGCTCCTCCTCCTGACCCATCTCTACCTCCCACTGTCACCTCCTCCTCTCCCTCCAGCACAGAGTTCTTCTCATTCAAGTTCTGCAAGAAAAATAATGCGCAGCAACATCAATATGTGGCAGAATCCCAGATTGAAACCAGAGTCACATGCAAATTAACTAAATGCAGCTACCTCAAATGAACCTCCTCCCTTTAAGAACAGTGTGCCTTTATTTCAATGCATTATAACTTATATAAGACAACCACAAGAGGGAGCCATAGTCTGCACTAAAAAGTGTGTATTGGCTGCTTTTGTGGTGGTTATATGATAAATGTAACGACAGTCAGTGGGTGAATATTAACATAAACACAGATTAAATTGTTTTATATTATTCAACAGATACGATTCAACCCTGAAATGATTTAATACACTCAACCCATGTAAGAAATTGCTTTTTTTTGCAGATAATAACCACTGAGATCAGTTTTATACAGAGTTTGAGTCTGTGTGTACCTCCTCTCTTGTTCTGAGGCAGATCCTCCCCACATATCCCTCCTCAGAGTTCCAGCTGGAGACCAGTCGGACCACCTCCTCCTCCGGGGCCAGAGCACGGTGCTGAGCACAGCGCTTCACCTCGCTGCGCTCCTTCAACAGAGGAACCTTCTCCTCGCACAGGAAGTACTCGGAGGGGTTTCCAGAAGACGCTACAACCTGCGTAAGGAAGTATGACACGACATGGCAAATGAAAAATTGCAAAAGAAATCTGCTGCTACAATCACCACTTCACTTCTGAAATACTAACCGTGTCCAGCAGCTGTTTGGCGGTGGTCTGCTCTGTCACAGAGAACACGGTGAAGAGTTCAGGGCCAGGAGCTGCGTACACCGTCACCCTGTGCTGCTGCGACGCATGTTTCTCCTCTGAACTGAACAGCTGTGAGGAGAGCAGCATGTTATTATAAACACACTGTGTCATATTACTGCTTCAGCGGACAGCCTTTAAAGCACAATTGGAGGTACATTGTCACATGTGCCCACAACCCCTGCTATTTCAGAGCAGCTGCCAAGTCTTACCAGTGATGAGGGAGTAGCGCCCCCTGTGGGACCCTCCTCTATTCTGCGGCTGTAGATAAACAAGCTTGACACTTCCAGGGGTTCATTATGCTGCGTCCTCAGCTGGACGTGTCTGTAACCTGAAACAAACAACAAGAACATATATTCTGATTACATATAGACCAATACAACCGAGAATAGTTAACAATCTTGTATTAGCTCTAATAATTTGTATTTTTCTATGTTTACAGTTAGCCTATGAAAAGCAACTTAGTCAGGATATAACAAGGGACTGACACAAAACAAAAAGACTCAATTATATTTCATTTCTGTTATACATCAAAGCCTTTTATAAGATATATATTATAAATATTTGCAGTTTCCCTCATTTGAATGAAGTGTACTTATTACAGCTGAGAGTTGATAATCAGGCTTTGTTTTTAAACTATTTTTTCAAAAGCGTATTTCAATAATACTATACCTGCAGACATTTTTATTGATTCATAAATACTTAAATATCTGCAGACATTTTTAGATCCTTTCTCATGATTGTATCTGCAGTATATTATCTTTCAGACTCGTACCTGGCTTGAGGGCCTTCAGAGGCAGCGTCCTCTGAGCGGTGGTCTGGGAGCTGTTGTTCTCCACTACGGCGAAGCGCAGGAAGCACATCTCTTCGCAGTGCACGGTGAACTGGAAGTGCTCGCTCCACATGGGGTTCAGGGTGTTGCGGTGGATGGGCTTGGTGCGGAAGTGGCAGCTGTCGATGGACATGCCCAGAACATCCACCTCAATGCAGGGGCTGCCAGCGTTATTAACGGGACACACGTTCTGACCGGAGACAATCTGAGAGGGAAAAACAGAGACAAGGGGTGTGAGGATGAAAGAGCAACAATATACACAATGTACTAACAACATGTGCAGATAACACTTTGCACTTTTACTAAATCAATGTTAGTTTTTAGCTTTTTGGGTGGAAACTTAAGCGGAGAAGGCAAACAAAGTCAGTGAGGTCACTTTGACCTGCCAACGCACACACACACACACACACACACACACACACACACACACACACACACACACACACACACACACACACACACACAACACACACACACACACACACACACACACACACACACACACACACCACACACACACACACACACACACACACACACCACACACACACACACACACACACACACACACACACACACACACACACACACACACCACACACACACACACACACACACACACACACACACACACACACACACACACACACACACACACACACACACACACACACACACACACACACACACTTCATCGGACACTTAAAAGCACAAATAATCACTTCATGTCAACAAATCGTACACTCTTACTTTGTCATGAATTTAACTCCAGGCTGAAATATTTGTCTCTGTGTTATTTTTGACCAATCCAGTTAAATGTCTGATTTGAAGTCTGTAACTTGAATTTTCTGTGACGATGCAATAACGATGAGATAAACTGTTGGGGCTTTCATCGTTCTCTTCCCCAAACAATATGCAATGAGTAACAGAAAGTCAAGAAAAGCGCAGACAGACAGAGGGTGGTTGTGAGACATAGAGTGGACATATTGCAATGCAGAGCTTTTATGAGGTCCTGTTCTCAATCACTGGTATATAAACTGGGTGGCCTTCATGAATCTCAAATATAAGCACATAGAGACCTCTTCACAATAAAACTGTCCAAACACACCTTAATGACTCTCATGAGTACTTAGGAGTGACCAGTTAAAATGTCAGTGTAGGTATGGTTATTAAGGATGAAAAACGGGCTTAAGAAAGATTTAATTGCCTTGAGGCTTTTAAACATGTACCATGAAAAATTATCTATTTTAGAGACTTTTGAGATATATATTTGTAAAAATTAAGAAAATATATGTATTTTTTAAAAGGAGCAAAAAGTATTTGCAGACACAAACAGCTATGATAAGATCCGATCCTCTTTACTTAGGAAACTGATTACGCAGCACTCCTGAAATGTAAACTGACAGTATAAAAGAGGTTAGTAATAAGTAATATACGAAGTCGTCCTCCAGATTGATTTCCCACTCTGCTCCAAATGTCACATTAACTCACAGTGAGGGAGTAGACGGCGGGGCTCATCTTCTCCACATCCCTCTCCATCGGACAGAACTGCTGATAGAGCGGACAGCTGCGGTCCCACAGCACCGCCGGCTTCAGGACGTAGCCACAGCCGCCGTTAGCCTCAAACAGAGCTGTGTTCAAATGCATGGGCAAGTCTGAGGGGAGAGAAATTAGGTAATAAAGTAAACAAAGTATGGTATAAATCCTTAAAGGTGGGGTATGTAAGTTTGAGAAACCAGCTCGAGTGTGCTAGAATTAGAAAAAACACGACCGGAGAAAATCTGCCCCTTCCTTACAGAGCCCCTCCTCCAACACACACGAACGCGCACATGACCAATGAGGGCACGAGATAAGTTTGTGCACAGATGGAAGGCTGACAGGCAGGTAGGTCATCCAGTTACTTTAGCCGGGCCGGCTCAGATGATTGGTCGTGCTTTTTACAGTATCACGGCTTGTTATGGATGTTTTGTCAAAGCACTTAAGATATTCATTGCTATCGGGATGTTAAGAGCATTCCATGGAATATAACAAAAAGTGTATCTCGAGCCGGTTTCTCAAACTTACCTACCCCACCTTTTAATTCACCTTGATGATGTAAAAAAGTTGGAAAATTAAGACAAAGATTATTCAGTTTGTTGCGGCAGTTGTTTTACCAGGTTGGATTTTAAGTCGGCTTTATAAGAGTGTGCTACAAAAATAAAACGACATGTCTGAGTGCAAGTAAGTCTCTTTCTAAATGATGGGGAAGATGAGTTGAAATAAAGAGATGGATAAAACACGAGGGTTGAACTAAAGGAAAATAGTTTTAAAGGAAGGGAGTAGGACAAAGGTCAAATGAGAATAAGAAAGAGGAGGATGAGAGATTCTTTTAAATGTAATATGCCTTTTAGAGAAAGTAACTTCATCGGAGTTCAGACGGCGAACAGAGAGACATTTCTGGATAATGGAGAGGGAGGAACAAATACGATTTGAAACAACAACAGAGTAAGGTAGAAAGAACGAGAAAAATAAAGAAAGAGGAAAAAGAGACAGACAGAAAATGAGCAAGGGGACACCTTGGGATCAACAATCACTTCTAAAGAGCATAATAAGAGATACTTTTATCTGCAGAGACATAACAAACAAACCGACTCTAGAAGTATATAGTCTTTTAGATATTTTCAAGGGATTGCAAAGTTGTAAAAAGCTCACATTATGATGTAAATGAGGCCTTGACATTGCTTTATATGCATTACAAAGGAGAAAGATGACAGAGTAGAACAGAATATACTCTCCTTTATGTTCCACTAACTCCTACTTGGGATTAAGTGGTATTATATACTTAAAAGAGGGACTTAATGAGTAATGTTTGATGGCGAGTGAGACATACATTAACAGAAAGTGCTGTTTAAGTGATTAGCATACAGAGAGTTTCAGCGACTCACCATCAGTCTGATAGTTGAGTGCCACCAGCTGGATGCCGTGCAGCCAGAAGAGCAGAGGGTTGGGGTTTGTCGAGTCGATCCTGGTGGCTGCTGGGTACGTTCTGAGCAGCTGGCAGCCCGTGTGCTGGATCAGCTTCTGAGAGTAGCGGCGGCACAGGCGCTTGGCGGCGTTCTCATTGACGGAGGAGATGTGGTAACACTTGGGCGTGCGGATGATGGCGCTGAGGGAGGTGGGGGGGTTCAGGGTGGGAGACGTCTGCTGCTGCTCCTCCCAGCTCAGCCGCTCGCTGCCACCTAGAGGGAGGAGAGGGACCTTTAAAGACCCTGAAAACCCTTTTTGCTGCTTTTAGGGATGTGGTTGTCCTTGAATATTTAGAGTAGCTGTAGAACCAATCAGGATGCAGCATTGTTTTGAATCAAGAGTTTTGAGATTTGATGTGGAATGTCTCCCCAAACTTTTTTCAGATTCAAGATTCAAGGCTTTTATTGTCATTCATAGCTACAGTGTAGTTATGTCGATGAAAATCTTAGGTCACAGGCAACACAATAAACCAGTAAAATAGTGCAAGTAAATATAATAAAATAGAATAGAAGTAGTGCCATAAGAGTCTATATACAAGTGATAGATAATTTGTAAGCTTGGAATTTTGTATGTCTTTTTGTACTTCTTCATACGTTTTTTCGCGTACCTTTACCAGGGGTGCGGCTCTGAGTCAGCGCAGGAGCAGGGGCTGTGCCAAATATGGACTTCCTGCTCTTCCCCCGGTCCTTCCCTCTGCCAGAGCCGGCAGGAGACAGCGTGGACAGGCCTGTGTTCCCACACACAAGAGGAGAGCGGTCAATAATGCAACACAGACAGGCTGGAGACCAGATCATGACATCAGTATCTCATCATTTGTTTCTCAAACATCCAGAAATCATTTTCTCTAAACTCCGTCACTTTCTGTCATGAGGAGGAAGTCCTCTCCCACTCAGGCGTCACACCAAGTGCATTTGTTTTAATGAGGATGGACGATTAAAGCTGATAGCACTGACAAGTATTTTTATTTTTTGAACTAGCTTGTTTTTGTTCTGGAAAGCAATCCATTAAATGTTGCAAGTCTGTGGGATGACAAGGAGAATGCAGCACAGAAGCAGAACGATGCTTCAAATCTTCTTTGCAAATGTCTTATTTGATATGGTAATAAGATTCATGTCGCTCAATTAATGAACATTAATGGCATGTAACACATTTAAAAACTATGAATCATGAGCACTTTATTATTTGGTGCCAGATATTTTTTCTTCTTTTCAACAAAATATATGAGGTAAGAAATGTGTCAGGCATTTTGTGAATCTTAAGTACATTTTAGGATTGTATAAATGCTTGTAGACAAGTAGCATGTCTGTCTGCCGCAAGTTCAGACAGCGGAAAGAAACAACAAATGTGCAGCCCTTAAAGAATTGGGCTGCTTGCCCCGTCTCCTCTTTCTCTGATCTCAGTCCCTGGAAACAGTAAACAAATAAAATACCAGTGGAAACACAGCCACGTTTATAAGGGCAAATGTTATGAAAAGTACAGAGGAGACAAGCAGAGAAGAGAAGATGCTTGAGGGAGGAAAGCGATAAGAGGTTGATATTTAATGGGCACAAAGTTCAACAGATTTTAACCAGTTCAAGCTGAAGGAAGTGGGAAGTACCAGAAACTCTTAGTCAAATGTGAACCTGGGACTAACTGAAGAAGAACATCCCAGAAACATTTCCTTAATAGACAACAACTGTGCTGTTTGTTGTGCCGCTCTGGGACTGACAGACCAGTGAAGTAACCGTATCTTTCCCCCCGGGGAAAAAGGAGGTTCGTCATCTCTGTGGGTGTCCAGTGTGGGAGAGGAATGGAGACATATTAAATGTCTTTCAATGAAAAAAAAATTAAAACACGCGGAAAGGTTTGACCTCTTAAATATAACATGGGAATGGATTAGACTGGGACAAGACAGAAAGGTTATATTAAACATGATAGCAAGAGAAAAGGAAAAGAGAAGGAAGACACAGTAACACTCAAAAAGTGCTATGATAAAAAGTCGAGGGAGAAAAGAGCAGTGAGGACAGCATGAGGACATTTTCTGTACCCGGGAATTTCACAGCCTGGCAGTAGATGATGAGGTCGGACAGCTCCTGGGCAATCTGTCGACTCTCCTTCTTGTTCTGAGGAAGGTAAAACTCCTCGCCAAGCTCCATGTCAAACACCTACAGGTGCAGGAGACACAGGGCATGGACAACACAGTTAACATTGCACTTGAGGAGGCAGTGATGTACTACAGGAGCCACACTTATACAGCTAGTAGCTATGAAATGGGCTTCTTACCTTTCCTTTGCTCTGCGTGGTGCTCTCAGGCTTCTTCATCCTCTTCGGGATTTCATCAACAGGTTGCTCCTCTTTGTCTGCTGGGCTCTTCCCCTCTGGTTTGTCATCCAGGATGTTATCTGTTAAGGAAACAACATGAATTATAGAAGCTCCCAGGTGTTAATAAGTGTGAGTGCAGCAGAATGGAGAGCACACATCCTCAGGGAACGTTTAACGAGTAAAGCAAATGTCATAAACAAACAGATTTATACGCAGCACGAGTTAGCATGGCATGGTTTTGAACAATGCACAAACTGCAAAACGTTAAAGCTGTAGTACACTCATAGTGCTGAGAAAACCTGGATGCTTATGAACAGGAAACGCTCGGTGTGACTAGTTGAGGTTCTTGCAAATCAAATTAATCTTTAAGGTCAAACATATTTCTTATTCCTGCACCGCCAATCCAAATGTGTATTGGCCTATGTTCATTAGCAGAGAACATTTGATCCAGGATAGAGGGACAAAACTAACCTGGAGGCAAAAACTGGCCTAACTAAGATAAACAAACAAATAAACAAGACAAACATGTCGCTGATGACGATGACCTAATATTTTATTTATAAGAAAAATGTATGCTAGAGGGGGTAGGACCAGAAAAGTATTTTTAAGCTTCTTCTTGCCCCTGTTGAACATGACGGAGACTATTTGAGAATTTTTTTTTTTTTTGTACTTGATATTATTTTGAGTGAAAAAAAAAAAAGAATATATATATATATATATATATTATAATTATTGTTGTATTTTTTGTTTCTGACATGTTCAATAAATTGACAAAAACATAAATAAATGTATTTGCCAAACCACAATTGGTGTCCAAGATGCTGTTGATATATTCAATGCTGAATCACCAGTAAGGCATATGTCAGGAAATGTAAATTCAGCTTGCAGGAATGTTACTTCTTGTAAAAACAAATGCTTACTTTTTATGTAATGAGGAGTTTGGGTTTTGTAAATACAGTCAGAGCTTTTATAGGCCACTAGAGTTGAGTTACAGCGTAAAGCTTCTTGTGCATTACATTTAGCATGTAACCACGGTGATTGATGCTTAGTTGGAAATGAGTTGTATATACTCTACAATAACACACTCTAATGTACAGGATGACGACTGAATGAAACCACAAGCATGTGTGTTGGTGTGAATGCAGATGCAATTAATTATAGTAATGTACAATGGCTCAGCCTTTAATTCAGCTATTAGTTATGCCTTTTAGATGACTGCAGAAGAGGGTGATTACAGAAGAATTATAACGAGTAAACGACTTTCAGAGCACATGAGCAGGATCCCAAGCAAAAGCCCCCTGAAGGCTCCTCCTTGTTGATATTCAAAGCAAAGTGTATCAACTGTAAACAGCAGCAACAGGAGGGAATTCTTCCCTTTGCTCCCATTTCCTCCTACACATTCATCACAGCCAAAAACACAGCGAGGAACATATCAGCTTGAAAATGCAGATGCTCTTTATCACAGAAAACGTGTTTAATTCCTGGCATTTGGAATCTGGAGCTGACCCTGGATGTCACCCTGAAGACAGAAGCCAGAGAAGTGAGTTGGCCCAGACTGTGCCTGGAGGGAGTTACCGTTAAACAATTGACGGTGGCGACTTGGCAGTTTAAAGCTCAAATATCTCTGTTTACAGGGCCAGCTGATGTTAAGTACAAGAGTGTAGGGTCACATGGAGACTGTCAATGGTGGAGTCAATCATGGTTAATATTTCACTGACAAAAAATGGATGTATCAAAATCTAGCCACTCAATGAGGTTTCAAACGATACTTTTTTTGTTGTAAAGGTCTTTGGCCATTAAGTTCTTCCGACAGGGACAAGCAGAGGGCAGGGACAGGAGGAGCAGTGGTGGGACTGCGACCCAGGATAGGGTAGTTTCCCCATGTCTGTTGTTTAGTGCGGGGGCAGCGCAGGGCCTGAGAAACCAGATGGCTTTGTTTTGTTTTCATGATGAGCCTGCCCAGCTTCTAGCGAGGTCACTGACAAAATATAGTATGGCGGGAAGGAGGAAGGGAGAAACAGGAATCTTACTGACACTGCCAGAAATAAATAAACATTTTTCTACACATGGCAATAATTTAGTTTCATTCATAATTACATATTTTTCATTCAATTTAGAAGCAGACTGTGAGGCATACCCTTGCCCTTAATGCACTAAAGCAGAGTTTTCTAAATAATTCCTTAAGGTTATTGCAGATATACTCTAACCTGCTCTTAAAACAGAATGTTAAAAAACATACTGTAAGAAAACAAAATGCCAAATTCAAAAACACAACACAAGCTCACATCACATGTCTTTAGTTTTTAAAATAATATCCATCAGGTGATGGATACACATAGCGCATATTAACAAAGTCAAAAGAAGCAAGCTTGGAATTCAGGGGACTTTTTGTATCATTGCAACATCAAAAACGTTCAGCTCGGTCGGGAATCGATGGCTATTACTTTTCTTATTCATAACTTTCATAATTCCAGAGATACATCCCATAATTCATCACATTTGTAACATAGAAGTCAATGGAGAAACTCTTCAGACTTGAACAATCTTCATGCGATTCAACTGCTAACTGCTCCTTCATACTTTCACTCAGAAACCTCATTCCAACTTTAAAATGTTACACATCTTTCTGACATCATTCGTGTAACACAACTTTTAAATCTGATTCGTACTTTTAGAGATATTAAACATTGTTCAGACCTTGGTAAAGAGGCCTTCTTCAGATTTTAGAGTGCGTGATGTCACAGCTAGAGTGGAGGACAGATTTAATTTAGCCTTCATATTTTCTTTTAAACCTGCCATGATTCCCAAACCTAGCTCTACGTCAATTATGGGGGTGTCATCATATGCCGTCCAGCTCTATGCCAAATCTGAGATCTCACCATAGGCTGTTGCCATGGAAACGCACCCCTCGCCATAAAACACGATGTTGTCGTAACTGATATGAAAATGGTCAAAACACCACCAGACTTCAGACGACAGTTAATGGTCCAGCCCTCAACATGTCTATGTGCCATTAGTGAGTTTTCCTCAAAAGCTGTTGCCCTCGCCGTAAAACACGATATTGCTATAACTCCTATGAAAATGGTCAAAAAGTGCTCAAACTTCACGTGTGCTAACAGTCCAGCCGTGAAGACATCTACGTGACAGTTTTGAAATGTCTTCAAATGTCGTTGCCATGGCAACACAATGCTCGCTATGAAACACGGTTTTCTCATAACTTCAGTGAAAATGCTCCAAACGGCCCAAAACTTTACAAGTTTGGTAACGATGCAGCCATCAAAACATCTAAGCGTGTTATGGGGTGTCATCAAATACCATTGCCATGGCGACAGATCATTCGTCATCAAGTTAGTTCAATAGTTTGCAGTTCAAATATTCCGCTGCTTTTCCAAGCTTTTTTACTTTATTTTCTTCTCTCATCACACATTCAAGCCCCCAGTGTTCATGTATCATTTCAATCTAAGTTCTTCACTTTCTTCTTACACATTACATTTCAGAATAGCAATTCAGCGTCAGCTTTTCAGCATAAAGCATTCCCACTAGCAATTTCTTCAGGAATTGCATTCTCTAGTTTGAATTGCTGCTTACCATGCACAACAGATGGCTGTGGTGCAGCAAAACATAACTTGACATTGACAAACAGCAGAAAGCTAGCAGCTGTTACAGTTTGAAGGCACATACAGGAGTCAGTGTATAGCAATGATGCAAATCATGAGGGCACATCCACGTACCAGTGTTTCCTCTGTAGTTATTCTGCAGTGGTAGAAACCACAGCAATACATTTCTAACAATAAACTATAATTTCTCCGTACAATCTAATTGCAGATACAAAATCTAAATGTAGCTTTTTATAAAGTACATTTCAAGTATTAATAAAAATGTTACTAAGATATTTCAAATTTCTTACAGAACGAAATACATTAGGGAAACACCAGCAACTACCAGCACAAAACAACATTTGATGGAAACACTGGTACATCGAGAGGCGCATCAGAGCCGTGCGTTTACCTTCCAGACTATACGAGGCAGTAGAGGCTGTGAGGACATCAGCTAAGTGGAAAACAGGCAAGATCAATTATGAAATGAAGGGAGTATCAACGTAAAGAAGGTGTTAGAAAAAGAGACAGAATAAAAGTGAGAACAGAATCTGATTCAAAGGTTACTTCATATAAAATCTACATTTCATGTATGACTCATTTCATCCCTAGAATCCATTGAAAACAAATATTGGTGACGTTTGTGTTAGTTTATAGCTTCTGAAGTTTTGTCTCCAGGGCTCACACCCCATCCCAGTTCTCCTTACCATCTGATAGAGACTCATAGTCGTAGTCGTACTCGTCTTCTTCCTCTTCCTCTTCTTCATTGGTGTGGTTGTTAGGTGAAGTAACCCCTGGTGACCCGTTGCTAGCCTGTGCCTGCATGTGGGCCAGCTGGTGAGCCTGTAAAAGGGTTCAAATGTTGTTTTAAAAAACAGAAAGTGCTGCAAAGTGATAATAAGTGCATGTAAATCATTTTGAGGGAGAATAATATTTACACTGATATACCTGTAGCTCACATTTGATCTACATCTACACATCATCTGGGATTTTTAAACTATCAGCAGATAATCTTTACTGCATATACTGTATACGGAAGAACATTATCTTAGTGTAGTAGTGAAAATGGTGTACAGGAGGTGTGCATTTGAGCACATTAGCATCTATTATTTATGTGACAGCACTCTAATCAACACTGCTGTATATTGAATGTACTAATGCTACCTGCTAACTATGAATAATGTACATGTTTATGTATGTGCGGACAGGAAGCCTTCTTCCTTCTTGACCTTCTGTTTGAGTATGTCCACCGGCGCCTGGTGTGCTTTGAGCTTCTTGTTCTTCAGGAGGATTCTCCCCCGCAGCTGCAGAGGAGACGGCAGGTGAGGGTCATCGTTGAAATCACTCTCAAAGAGGAAGCGAGTCACAAGGCGTTCCCCAATCACCGTCTGAAGGTAAATATTGAAAGGTGATGGACACACAGTGAATAAATGATGTGAAATGATATGCAGAACAGACCAGAACATAATGCAAAGCGATAGAAGTAGTGAAGAAGTGATTTTATCAACACCAATAAGATTCCAAATAAACAAGTTCAAGTGGATGTAAGTTAGCCAGAGGCACAAAGCTGTCTCATCATGAAAGACTCTTTTTTTTGTATCAAGCCACTCAAAAGTCAGCCTCCAGGGAGGAAAGGAGGCTGGGAAGTTTTGTCAGATGAAAGCACGATGATGTTCCAAGATGTCTCCGTCATGCCCAGATTTGTGAGGGTGAGTAAACAACAAAGAAAGGCACAGTTTTCAGCCTGAATTTGATCAAAGCAAGCCTCTGGCTAGGGAAAATATGTTTTATAATATAAATATAAATAGTTTTCTACCGTTACTCAAGTGTGGTTGGGCCAGAAACTGGTAGGTGCATGTAATTCCTTGTATATAAAGCATGGTCTTGTTGAAATTGAGCATGTGGACCTACTAAAGAATCTATCTAGAGTTTAGGTTTGGGTGCTGTCATACCTTGAAGATTTCAGCCATCTTGCGTTGCTGTGGAAGGGAGCAGTGGTTCTCTATGGACAGGATGACGGGCATGTCCGAATTGACAAATGCAGACCGGTTTACTGCTTCCACCACATCCTTCAATATCATAGAAGAAATTGTTTTCTCAGAAACAGCAGTCAAAATCAAATATAAGACAATGAAGCTCTATGCAAACTACTAATGGGATTTACTAAAAACATTTAGATAAAACATTCAAATAACTTACAGTTGTTTAAGAACTCGGGTTCGGAAAAATATGGTTACTAGTATTTTCCACAAGAGCAAGCAGCTGATGAACTAAGGTCAGTAGATTTGTTTTTATGAATTACCTTTGTATAAATACATCATACAGCGTGGGAATTGTGTTTGGCTACATTGCTCCGTTGTGAGCCAGTGATTAATTGTTCTTTTCTTCTAGATCTTGTTTCTCTATTGAATTATTCAAATGCATGTCTTACCTTGAAGGGTATTTTAGTGGTGAGTGTGTGTCCATGATAAATAACTGGCATGCCATCATCTCCATCCCAGCAGTCCAACTCGACGCTCCTACAGCCTTGCAGCAGCACCTGGTGAAAGATTGCAGTAATTGATAAGAAACAAACAATTTAAGATATGGCTTTAATATGTGAAAGGCTAACTTACCTGACTGTAAAGCTCAACAGAGGACTCTCCTTTGAGCTGGTGTCCGGTCAGATAGGTGTTATGAGAAGACTCGATGTAGTAGTAGGACAGAGGGTACTGCAGCTCCTCTGGGTTCACCTGGGATTCCTCAATACGAGAAGCACAGTTCTCCTTATCCATCAGGAACCTGGAATGGAGGATGGGATTGTTTGACAAAAGAAACATAATGCTATAAACTTCCCATGTTATGTCGTTTTTTCTATACCTTGCAAAGCCTTCAAACGACATCCAACCCATTTGTCTCATGCTCAATGAGGGCTCAAATCTCTGCAAGAGAAAAACATAAAATCCGTAATTACCATTATTGATCAACATTACCCTCTCCTTCCTTTTTTCTGAGGTTTCATTCAACCGTAATCCATTTATCCATCTTGTAAACATCACACATCGACATCAGGCATTTCTCTCATATTTCTCTCAGTCCTTAATACAGTATAATGCTTTCATCTCTTCATCTCTCCCTCATGTTTTAGTCAAATAGATTTTTATAAGTGCTCTCCTTGCACTTTCTCAACCCTTTCTTCCAGGCTCTACCTGTATAATGCTGAGAATCTCGTCATAGCTCAAGTGCTCTCTCTGACAGTTCACTAGGAAGTCGTTGAGCTGAGGGATAGCCAATCCCAAGACGCCCAGTGAAGCATTTTCCACTCCCGTCCCGTTGGTCACGATGCTGGCGGCTGCGATGGCGTCTGAGATCTGCCTCTGGTTGTCAGACATCTGCTGCCTCGTCCGGATAAACAGGCCAAGGTCAGAGCCATTGCGGGTTAATAAGTCTGGAAAAGACCAAGAGAAAAATAAGTTAAAAAGTGGTGTTTGGCAGACGTTATTGGCTGATTAGACTACATAAATGAAGTGTTTTTACCGAGGTCTGGCTGTAGCCCCGTGTCTTTATCGTCAATGCTGAGGTTGGTGTAGAGAGGCGCAGACTCTGGAGTTGATCGACTGCAGGGGACAGCGAAGGTGTCAAACAGCTCCTTCAAGTCCTTCCTGCTTCGGATACTGTGGAGGAAACAGTTTATTTTAGGATTTGTATTCCAATTTCCTACGAAAAAGATGTGCAGCAGCATTTGTGTAAGATAAGCAGACAAATCATTTTTTTTAAAGCCTTGTTACAATAGACAGTAAGTATTTTCTCTACAGAGCACTCACACATTGGATCAATTTACCCTTATTCAAATACATTCAGTTTGATCTACATTTATTTTCAAGGCCAAATAAAAAGTCACATTAATAAACGTTTGTGTGGCAAATATCCTCCATTTGTAATATTTGGTTTTGCTGTACTTTATATGCTCCTTGCTATTACTAAACAGAGATTTTAAAGGGTTTTCAACCTTTGCAGACAATGGTCAAATGGCAATACATCTCAAATAAGCAGGATTTATTAAGAGGCTGCTTTGCTGAAGTATTGTACTTTAATTTTCTCAGCATTGCTTTAGCTGAGCAAGTGGGGAATTTAAGCGGAAACTGCTGGGCAGTGGATGTACCTGACAATCTAAGAAATGCAGGAGGACTGGTATACTAACATTGTTTCCTTTGATAGGGAAAAAAGTTATAGAAGCTAAATATTTTACACAGAAGAATGTCCTACGTCTGATAACCCTGAAAAGCATGTATTGGATGTTATCTAATGTCTTTAGCTGCTATTGATAAAAACTGCAGTTATACAACCAGAGGGAGAGAGATAGCAGGAGAGAACAGAACATGTATAATATACATACATATATGCTACAGGCCTTTACTGAATGTCAAAATATGACATATGTAACCAGGAAAATGTGTTTGAATATCTGTTTTAGGGGCAGTATCTTCGTCCGCAGCTGATACAGTGCAACAACAATGTGAAAAACACGAAACAATTTGTGGGAGGATAATATGTGGTCAATACCTGAAAGACTTGAAGAGCTCGACAAACTCGATGAAGCTCATGGTGCTGTCAGAAATCATGAGATTCTGGAAGCCTTTAAAACAGCCTTTACCACGACCGTGCCATGACCTGCTGCTCCACGCCCTACAAGCCGAGGGAAATGAAAAGAAATCCCAAGAGAAACACAAAGGGATGAGAATCCAAACTTCAAGTCTTCCACTCCAGTCTTTGTATACAATACGGTACGTACCCTGGCTGTTGCTTGACAGTTCCAGAGAGGACAGGAGAGGACTGTGGGCGGGAATGGTTGGACCCCGCCATACTGGAGGAAGACGAGGAAGAGGAAGAAGAAGATCCAAGCAATCCAGGGCTTTTACTGGATGAGAGGGAGAATGGTCCAGGGAAGCTGTCCTCTACGGAGGCAAAGAGGACATAGGGTAAATAAGAATCATACAGACAATAAAGTGTGTAGTCTTTGGATTCTTACGCTATAATGCCTTTGCTTCGGATACATCTACACATTTTTGATTCTTTGTTTGAATTGAAATAGATGTGTAAAGGGTCACCTGGATCTTCTTGGTCGATGCTGTCAGACTCCGGCCCGTTCCGATACAGTCCCTCTTTACAGCTCCGTGTCTTCCTGGAAACCATCTCGTCATCCGTGGCATCCCCACTGTCTCCCTGTGTCGGGTGTGTAAACACAATTTATGCTAAAAACAGGGAACTATTCAGAATTAGAAATGACATCAGTGTGAGTCCACAGGGCATAACAAGGAATACATTGTACCTCAAGCTTTATTTAACTTGTTCATGTACTGACCCTGACAAGGACCTTCTTCTTCTTCTTGGCTTTATCATTAGGGCTGTTTTTCTGGCCGCTGGGTTTTTCCACTCCGCCTGTACCCATGTTCCACCTCCGCCCACCAAACAGCTCAATGGCATGAGCCAGGGTAGGGCCTTCGTACCTGCCGTCCTCCTAACAGAGACGGACACACAGAGGGTTATATGGAGGGGAGCATTTCAGAAAAAGAGAGACAAAAAAAACGACCTCACCCCATGCTTTTAATTCACAACAATGGTGGAAATAAAGGGGCGTGTACAAGAAAAGTAATGTTAAGTGTACCTGATACATGCTGACATACTGCTTCCTCAGCCACTGCAACCTCTGGTCAGGAAACTTCTTTAATCTTCTGGTTGCATTCACCAACTCTGTCAGGCCTTTGTGGAGCATCCTTGCAGTGTGGTTGGGGGCCACAAAGTGCAGGAGCCTGGTGGCAGGAGTTAGGAGATAACGTGAAATATTTAGTAAACAGCAAGGTGTTTTTAAGTACTAGTGTAGCAATGCACAAGCTTTAAGAAAGGGGTATCAAGGAACTAACCTGTTGTCGGTGGTACTGAGACCGTAAAGGAGGCTGAGGCCATTTTCCTCCACCGTCATCTGGCTGAGCTTGTTTTGCAAACATACTGCATGGACGTCCACTCCCTGATGACCCATGAACACTGCCTGTACATTCAAATAGACAAAGTTAAGGAAGTGGCTCAAGACATATTGTGTAGTTTTTTACTAAAGAAATAACGGTTCCACAGGCCAAAGATGCAGCCTAAATACCAGGTCAATATTTAATCAACAAACCTTCACAACTGCCAGGTCCAAGAGGCCCTCTGCTAGTCCTGCCACTACAGACTGTCCTAATCCCAGTGGCTGCTCTGCAGGGGAAGCCCCTCCGCTCTGAGGATTACCTGTCATACATCAAAACATTTACAATATGTTTGAAATGTAGTTAAGCCATAGGAAATTGGGCAATATTTATAACCTGTTTAAATTGTAAATGTTACAAAAGACATGGTGCTCAATTACAGAGTATAAACACATATAAAGGATGTTTAAAATATAATAATGACACAGGAAATATGAAATAGATGCCTGTTTTCCATGTGTTTATAAGAGTATTAATGGGAAAGGAAATTGGGCTTGACTGAGATATAAACACACATACAGACATCTCAACTTGTACAGAGGACAAGATAAGATAATAAGATAAACTTTATTAATCCCAATTAGGGAATTTTTGTTATAAAGCAGTTAATTTAATTTCTTGTCAATTAACTAACTAACCAACTAACTTATTAACTAATTTAAATCAATAAAATCAGACGTTTGGTGTAAATAATTCTTTATAAACAACAAACTTTAACCCTCTCACTACTGGAAAATAAACAAGAGGGTTATATTTGAAAATATAACAGTCTGGAAAATACAAACCCCAGACAACAAGGTTGTAAGTTAAACTAAAATGTTTCATATACTTTCTTTACATTTTCTCAAAGCTGTTAAAAAGTAAACTTGTATATTTTTGACATATCTGAACGATGAGTCTGAATAATGGCTAACAAGCTGTTCCAATCTCAGGGGAAACCCATGTCTTTTGAATTATGTAGTGATTTTCTTTTAATGACACGGTCATAACTTACCCCAGGTGAGTGTTGTGTTGTCGGGCTGTAGCCGCAGCAGGCAGCGAGCAGTGAGGTGGCTCTCCTGGTCGTAGTGGATGACCGTGGCCCCCTGCAGCAGAAACTGGTGGACGTCTGGCTGCAGCGACAACACGTACCTGAGGAATGGAGACAGCGATAAGCGTGGAGTGTTTGTTGAGCTTCATATGTGTGTGTGTGTGTGTGTGTGTGTGTGTGTGTGTGTGTGTGTGTGTGTGTGTGTGTGTGTGTGTGTGTGTGTGTGTGTGTGTGTGTGTGTGTGTGTGTGTGTGTGTTGGGGTATAAGTGTGTGTTTCTTACCAGGGAATGAGCTCAGTGCCATGGCTGAAGGCTCTGTGCGTCTCCTCAGTCCCCTGAAACTCCACCTCCTTCACCCCCGGCTCAGACGACAAGTCCCCCTCCGAATCGGACAAATCCCCCACCATGAATCTAAAGATGGGTAGAAGTTGGGTTACAAGAGCAGAGAGGCAGTTTAGGATTATGAACTACATCTAAAAACTACAAATTGTATTTAATTTATTTCACAGAAATCTGTAAATACGTTTCTTGTTTTCATTTCAACTACTTCACTTAGTATGTTTTAAAAAAAACGAGTTACTGTCTAGTCAAAAGAAAGAATTGAGCTGCATCTACAGTAAGACACGGAAATGTATCCTGTACTGCAGTGCATCAGTTGAGTTTCATGCATCATGCATTGCACATTCCTTGATTACTTAACAAGTTTCCAGTCAAACAGCAACTTTAACCATGTTAATGTTAGGCAGCATAATGACAATCCTGACATATTTATAACCACTTACAAGACATGGTTTGATTCTGACGGTGTCCTAAAAGAATGGGAACTAGAATAGAAAAAGGGGACAAAGAAGCAAGAAGGGAAGTGTGAGACCAACAAAGAGTGAAACAAGTTCAGTACACAGAAGTGAAAAGAAATATAGCAATAAGAGAATGCAAGAGGGAAAGATCAGAAACACATGGAAATCATTCTGAAACATCTCTGAGTAAGAAAGATGATCTGTATCCAAGACAAATGAACTCAATACACCAAGCCAAAATGGAATAAGAGTTGTTATCCTGAGCTCTAATGTGAACTAATAATTCAGAGTCAGAGAAAACTGTCCAGAAACACAGAAGATAATCCAGGTTCCCATAACACAAACGGTGCAGGCCGATCTTGAAATGAAATGAGTCTTCAACAACATTGTAAGTTAGTGTCCAAATTCCAGCTTGTGTCATTAGCTACCTGCCACCAGTGTGCTGAAAAGTACCAGAGCTCAGTTGCTTCCTGCTCTGACAGGAAACTAACCTGTTATCTTGTATCTCTGTGACACAGGAGTTTATGTGAACATCTCCTCATCTCAATAACAATCTCCACAAGTGTTTTTCATAAGCTCATTATCTTGAAACAAAAGGAACATGCCCTACAGACCACATATTTCTAAGCCCTGAATCAGCATCAAGTTGTTTAGTTAATCAAATACAAATGTTTCAATATATTTACAGCTTCTAAAAATGCAATTCTTAGTCTTATGATAATCATTTTGCGACTCCTTTGGTTGGATGTCCACAAAAGCCTTTTCAGAAACTTCTAACAACGGAACAGTTAAACAGCTCAGCAGTTTTTATAGTTCAGATATAAATCTATATATGACGGACCATATTTTACTTTGTCTTTAAGTCCTTGTCTGTAAAAGAACAGGAAGAAAAAAACAACTACATTTTGACAAATTGAACTTTGGCAGGAAGGGTCAAAACAATGCAACCTCTCCAGTCTGCCTTAAAGGAGGGGTTTGCCTTTGTTTTCCAATAACCAAATAAAGCAATATATAAGTATAAAAAAAAGAACATTTGGGGTTTAATGTTCTTTAAACACAATACGTGAATAAATAAAATATGTGCTCTACACACCACCTGTTTATCAGAACAAGAAGCGAGAACAGGAAATACAGTAAAACGGCCGTAAACAAAAAGTGAAAGCTACTGCAGTAACCAATCAAAGATAGACAATAGACGGTTTCTTGATGGATTCAATCAAATGCTATGTGCCATCTGATACTGTACTGTATCTCATAAGCTTATTTAATACTGCACCTTTCTAGGGTGGTAAGCAGGACTGTTTCGTCTTGAGAGTTGTAGTGCAGACCCTGATGCTGCTCACTGAAGGAACTCTATCTTTTTGGTAAAGAAAATATAGGAAATATGGAAATGGAGGTACTGACTGATTGCGGCAGCGGTCCCTGAAGGAGTTGTTTCTGGACGTAGGGGATTGGCCAGTAGACGAAGGACTGGTGGAAGCATCGTCAGGATCCTCTGCCTCCAAACTACGATTACAGGATCTGGGGGTAAAGAAAGAAGACGAGTCAAAGGAGGATAAAGTGAAGAATCATTTGAGACCAAACCAAAACAGCGAGTAGGATAAAGTGGAACAAAAAGTGGGAAGTGACGAAGACAGACACTTGTTTAGCTTTCACTCCGTAGTCGTAAGTATGTGTTTGTACCTGATAATCTGGAGGATGTTGCTGACAGTGGCTTCTTTCTCTGGGACGTGGAGTCCATCGGGACCTGACCGCGACATGAAGTTGTGCTGGCCGCTGAAGTCGGACACAAACTAAACACAAATGAAAGCAGATGGAATTTAAATATGATGTCAAGTCAGTAATATGAGATGCATGTACATGTGTTTGTTAATGCGTGTGAGTGTTTGCTGCACCTCTATGGAGTCCTCTGTATTATCCACAGGTGGTTTCAGGCTGATGATGCTGGCTGTCCCATCCAACGCGTCACTCAGCTCCTTCAGAAAAACCCCACAGAATGGCACCACCTATGGTCAGAAAAAAACACATTCCAAGTAAGAAATAATGTGAACTACTAAAGTGACACATTACAAATTACAATGTGGACGAGTACGGTACACCTCCTTTTAATCGAGTGTTTTGTTTTTGTATGTTCTATTGTAATAAAAAATCAACAGTTTTGTTATTGACCTTATCACTCCAAATCAAACCTTTGCAACCCACCTTGCATCCTGGGATATTGAGGGCTCTGGTCACAACCTTTTTGTACTCAGCAGAAGACTCGTGCTGAGCCATGGCGTCCTTCAGGCTCCTCATGGTCTCGATGTCTGACTGATCCATAAACTGCCACATCTTCAGCACTTTGCGGGACCTGGAGGATAAAAGAAAATCTCTGTTGGTCAAATGGGATATTTTGCGTGATCAGGTTTTAAAAACAACAAAAGATGCGGAACATTAATCACTGTGTACATAGTTGAGTGTTTTTGTGTGTGCTTTTGCACCTGAGTCCAGCCAGAAACTCCATGACACCGTTGTAGTTTCCCATGTTCCAGCAGCATTTAGCGACATGGACCAGGTAGGAGAAAACTTCTCTCTTCTCCTCCATAGACCCAGCAGTCAGGATCAGCCACGTCACCCATGAACTCACCTGGTGATAAAGAGTTCAACATACAGTTTCAGCCCACGAACACTTTCATCACCAAAAATGCGCTGATTACTTTCTTGATTGATCCATGGTCTAAAAAGCAATCTGAAATGTGTTGTAATATTGAGTTTATTATTATATAAAACAAGGAAAAGCAGGAAATCTCCATATTTGAGAATCTAAAAAACAGCATCTTCTGACATGTTTTGCATGAATGGGTAAAGAATCACTCAACTTAATCGATGATTCCAATGTGGCTAATTTGCGACAAATTGTTAAACATTTTTAAACTAACTAACTTCGCCCTCTCTCATGACGAAGATTCTGCTATATGAAAATAATTGTATATATTTAAGCATATGCAATTAATAGTGGACGCTTGCATAAACTCTTTATTGTGTGTGGTCTTATTTTTGCATAACTCCTCTCTTTTAAAGTCTGGTTTGGCAACATGTATCTAAAGTTGTACGACACACACACACACACACACACACACACACACACCAAAGAATGCGATCAGATATGTGTCAACTGTACCCGCTGACTGCGCTCAAACACGGGCAAAAACTACGATGGAAGAGCCAGATATGTATCAGGGTCAGCTTCCTTTAACATTCTCTGCAACACGCAGGCACACACAACACAGAAAAAGATCAGATTTCAGTTTTGCTGACTAGCTCTCTAGTGTCTCTATGTGTTAAAGACTCATGAATGTATTCACACATAAATGCACACACACACACACTGAAACTCTCTAACCCCTCTTGCCTTGCAGGCGGTGAACACATCCCCCTGGCCCAGAGATCTATTACTGGGTTATGTAAGGGTCTGTAAAGTCCCACCACAGTCTGACTACACAGGGACTAAATAAAGCCACACAAACATGTAACATAGTACTCAGTTTCTCACAGAGTCTGAGCTTGTCATTTTTTTTGTTTACCCCCGTTACCTCTGTCCTCAATATCTATTCATTTATAAGCAAACACAGAAATCCTACATCACACATGCAACCAAACCCCCGGCCCTTGTACACAACATGGGCCCTTTAACATACACTACTGTATGTATGAGAGTATTTATGTACTATGTATTCACATAACAGGCTCTGGCACATGCATATTATAAACACAGCTTACGTTTATACAGACATCCTAGATTAGATCTTCTACATACAGTTAAATTACTTCATAAGCAGATAATCTACAATTTTGATGAAATGCTATACTGTATTTGTCTAACTATTTTATGTTAATAGTTATATGGTTTGTTAAGTCTTGCTTTTTCCCCCTTATCCAATACGAGCAAAAGCACACCAGTTTATGCCTGTATGGTTTAAGCAGAGGGTGACTGAGAAAATGTAATCCTTCTCAAAGAGATAACTCACTAATGTAATATCTTCCTTCACTCAAATAGAAAACATGAATATGATTAGGTCGTTCAGTCACACTAGAATGAAACAAGTTTGAAATGTTATTGTTAAGAAAACAACAGCCTTTTCAGCTGAAGCTTCCTATTTTATCATATTATTTTATCATTATTGCATGGAATTGTTGATGTTTGAGCGTGAGATAACACATGTACTCGAGGATTTAGAGTCTTACTCCATTATGTTTCAGTTGTATTAGAATTTACAGTACATGGCTTACTGACAAACAACCCTGCCGCCCAACACTATCTCACTGTATGCTCTGTGCGTGCCAGGATGTGCGCGCCCTACGTGAAAATGAGCTATCAGTCACTTCTAGCATTATGACATAAAGCGCAGCCTTGTCAGCGCCTGGGTTGAATTACAGTCACCATTTAAACCACTCTGACCGTCTGCAAAGTGGCTTTTTGAAGCGCCACGGATCAAGGCATTTTACAGAGTTGGCATCTCTTCTGATATTCCAGATAGCAAAAGTGTGTGCTCAGTGTTGTGTGGGAGAGATAATAGACAGGGTATGAAGAGATATATAGAGAGAGAGCGTGTAATGGCACTGAAGAGCAGGACAGAGCAAGAGATGAGAACAGACAGGACGAACACAGTAAAACACACTCAACTTGTGCAAAATGTACAGTGTGTTATCAAAGCAGCTTAATAACATTTTCCACACACACACACACCAGACTATGACCTTCACATACACACACACACACACACACCCCCCCCCCGGAGCTAGGTACAAACTGATCCCCCCTTTGATGTCTGTATATGTGTCCATCTGTTTGTCCGTCTGGCTGTCTCCATCTCTGTGTGTGTGTGTGTGTGTGTGTGTGTGTGTGTGTGTGTGTGTGTGTGTGTGTGTGTGTGTGTGTGTGTGTGTGTGTGTGTGTGTGTGTGTGTGTGTGTGTGTGTGTGTGTGTGTGTGTATTACTTGAACTGTGCGGGTCAGTTTATCCTTGATACATGAATTACATAACCAAGGTTGACAGAGAGCAATGACAAAGTCAACACATGAACACATAGTGGTCCTGTCAGAGCTAAACACTTGAGACAGGGGCCCAAACTTCTCACTCCTCCCTGACTCCAAATGTTCTCCTGCCATGCTTTCCATCCTGCTTACTACAATCACTCACTCCCATACACAGATTAAAAATGGACAAGATTCAAATGTTATCTATGAATATAAATGTTGTCAGTCAAATCCCTAAAGTTAAACACGTAAAAGCTTAAAACCGTGAAACCCAATTAAGTCATCGATACTGTCTTGTTGGGAATTCATTAATAAAAAAGGAGACCGAAGCCTAAAGAATAAGTAACCATTACAAAGGCTTCAACTTAACTATTTTCATTAAGCTCAAGAAAGTTCAACAAAAAGGCAAAAAAACGACAACAAACAAGGCTAAAATAATTCAATTATGTTATCAAAATATTTTGCTTTTTTGGTTAAAAAATTGCTTAAAAACGAAATAAATGTTCAACTTTGTTCGTGTTAATCAACGGTTCAGCTGTGTTGTTAATGCTGCCAATAATACAAGTTGTCAAAGAATAAAAGCAGGGGGATCCGGTGAATATATAACAGTTCATTCAAAAAGTTGCAAGATGCTTAACACATTTTGTGTAAATCTTTGGCCTAACACTGACCACAGTGAGTCATGGTACAAGACGGACGACTCGACACTATCTCCTTTTCTTTGGAGAGATTCCCAATTTAAAGCCAGCTTCATCGGGGTCTTCAAAGGGAGAATTGCTGTTGTCATTTGACTCTTGTTCCATTTTGCCCATATATGGCTACAATGCGCCTTTGATTTTTTTTGTGTCTCTCCTCTCGCTGACTTAAATGAAAAGCAGCTGATGTGAGAGGTATGCAACCTAAAGATGACATCATAATTACCGATCAATCTCGCCCAGTCTCGCTTTCTCTTTCTCGGCAGTGCAATGTTGTGGTTGTTTATTCTCAAAGTCACTCACCATAAAAGACACAATGCCCCAAGAGAGTAACTTCAGCCAACTTACAGCACACCTCTGTGAGTGAGTGAGTGAGTGAGTGAGTGAGTGAGTGTGTGTGTGTGTGTGTGTGTGTGTGCCAGTACATGCAGTATCTGCATCAGTCTTGAGCTGATAAGTTGGTATGACTCGCAAGGCAAATACCACAACGCAAATCCAGCTGAAGGAAAACACAATTACTGCTCTGCTATGCTTTCACATTTATATCAAATACACACATTTTCACTGTCTCTGATTATGTCATTAAGGGGGGGGGGGGGGGGGGGGGGTCCCTCACTCAAGCACTGTTTTTCTATCAATATGTTCTCAATAGTTAAGAAGTGCTCTCACCAACATGAATAACATCTCCATGAGGTCTTGTTTAAAAAGTTATTCAAGCCATTCAGGAGTCACTCCACAGTTTGCTGATAGGTATCACAGATTCCAAAGTGAGCTCATCCCACTAAAATCCTGTAGTAAAAACTGAGCTTGTGAGATATACTGTAGGCTGACTTCACAAGTTTAATATGATGAATCATAGCCTCTCAAAGGTCCCACAAAGAAAGGGAAAACAATTGGACGTTAGGTTTGAAGTACAGCTGAAACAATTCATAATTTGTCTTTAAATTAATCTGCCACCTTTTTAAATGATTAGTTGAACGCGTGTTAATGCTGTAAACTGGTCTCCTCACCTCATTGAATCGTGCCACCAGGTCCTCCACAGCGTTGCTTCGTTGAGCACTCTGGGTAGGCATGGCGGGCACAGACAGCGAGGCCTTGAGGTTAGGGTGGCGCTTGTTTTGACACTCGGGACTGCCTAGGTCTCGAGTGAGGAAACAGAGGTAGTCCAGAGGAAAGACCTGCAGAAAGAAACAGACAAATGTGAATTTATTATTAATTATGTTCATTTAAACTCACACTTTCCCCAGACATGTGTTTGCGTCCTCTCACCCGCTGGTAAAGCTGCTGCTCTTGCTCGGTGAGGATGCAGGCGATCTCCTCGGGGAACTGAACAAGGTGACGCACGTCTGCCAGCTCCTTACTGATCCCACTGACACTGGGAGGCAGAGAGCCGCTGCTGGTCATACTGTTGGCCAGCTGACGCTCTGCATGGGTGGGAAAAAAGGAGCAAGAAAGACATGAGAAAATAGATCAAGACGTTTACATTCCTGATCTTACTTTTACACAACATATCACCATTGAGCTGGTATTCTATGGCGAGAGAAAAAGCTGTTGAACTCACTAAAAGGAGAAGAGGTGAGAGTTAATAGACGCAAAGAGGGTGGATGGGTTGCCTCCACTAGTAGTAGGTACACAAGGGAAGAAGAGACTGCTGTTGTTCGTACGAGAAATTAAAAAGCAGAAACCAGAGAAGGGAGTCAAAGGGAGACATTTTCCACTCTGATGTTTCTCTCTCACCAGAAAAAGTTTTAAGCCTCATTGAAATGTGCATCTCTTTTTCAGGATTAACCCGAATGCCTCGAGTTTTCTGGTCCATCAATCCCTGCATACCACATTCTCTCTTACACATCCCCCCCCCCCCCCCCCGACCAGCCAAGAGAGGCCTGCACACTTCACCCTCCAGAAGTGAACAGCATTGATCACCTGCCAGTTCCTGTGTTTGGATTTCAGTTGGATCCATTAGTCTGTCTGTTTACACACACATATGCAAACCTGTCCTCATCTCTGCTAACAAAGGACTAATGGACATTTTCTACACTGGTGCTGCCAGGTAGACATACTGTACATTGTCGGGATGAATGCCACATAAACAGGATTTTCCAGCGCAGGAGCTTTTCCAGGAATGGTTTTAAGGACTGATAGAAACGAAAACATATTCTACTCAGTGGGGAATTATTCTACAACAAAAACCAATAAATGTTGCTGAAATCCTCAAATACAAGCCATTACAAAAGAACCTGACACGTAACAGCTTTAATCTAAACGGTATTTGTGCCTAATAAAGGGCAAATAGAAAAAAGGAAGTGTTTCAAACATGTTTGTATGTGCTATGAAATGATATGCATGCTAATTAAGTGGCTCTTGTCTTTAGCATTTAATTTGCTCTATATGCTACAAAGATCTGTTTAGCAGAGTAGTGTTTAAAATAAGTGAAATATTTACTGTATTATATCATGAATGCAAGAAATAGTACATCAAATAGATTGACCTCTAGGAATTAGACAGATTTGGTCTGTTCATTCACACACACACACACACAGAAACACACCTGGTCCCCTCTCGCAACCGCGCACATAAAAACCGGTGTATGCATAGACATATAGGAACACACACTTATAGGTTGTCCTTGGTAACTCTTAGCAACAGGTAGCCATGGCAACAGCAGTGGCCGCTCTGCAGGGGCAAATTTTGCTTATTTACACAGTTTGATTTGTGGATCCGGCCTGCTGCTTCTGTAACAAACTAAGAACACAGAGACCTACTGTGCGCAAGGGACACTTCAGAAATAACGAGAAGTGACAAAGGAAGGGAACAAAGAAGCAAAGAATAAGATAAACCTTAATTGGTTACTGTATTCAAGGACAGACCAAGAAAAGGTGGAACAAAGAAAAGAACAATTATTTGAAAATGCAAGAAAATAGGAGAAAAGGGACAGCAGAAGAGAGACAGGAGAAAAGGAAAGAGATGAGATAGAGAGGAAGGAAGGGATAAACAGATTAAGTGGAAATGTTGTAGTTTACACTGTGCTGCAGGTGTGAGCTATCTATCACAGTTACAGAGACAGAGTAATCCACTGAATCCTTTAAATGTTACACACAGAGACTACAGGTTATGAATGATGGTTCCTCTATAATGTCCAGGCCTGGAAAATATCCATTTGTGCACCAAATGTTACAAAGAACAAACACGATTTGAGTACTGAGAAGAGAGAGCCTGATCTCTTGAGGCAACATTAAATATATGGACTTTAAATACAGTTGCAAACTGGAGAAAAGTATCCCTTTTACTGAGAGATTTCCAAAAGGTGTAATGGTAGAAATGTACAGCTGCAACTTATAAAACAAACCTAAGTAAAAGTGTTAAATCAAACCACATAGTTAAGATTTGAACTTTCATCCATTGGAAATGTGTCAAAAACAGATACTTTTAGTTGAACTGCTGTTAAATTAGAATAAAAAACTGTGGAAGATCATTAACCATGTTTTAGTATCTTATTAGAAAACATGTCATGAAGATTTTAGTACAGTTTAAAACCAAGCATATGAGCAATATCTCTTCCTTTCTGGTCTGGAGCTGTTTTCACATGCTAACCTTTTGAAGTGGAAATGGAGACAGCTAGAATGAAGTGATATGAATTGAATGACGCTGTTGAAGATTTAATAATTCATGTATTCCTCCTTTAAGCTAGGGAACACACGGGCAGATAAAGCTTTCAAACAAGAAAAAGGTCCTAAGAGATTCTGAAGAATTGATTAAAAAGCAAATGGGCATTGATACAGAAAAAAGAAAATCCCAACCACAATATGTTAAGAGTTAATGAAAGCCACTGTGGTTTATATAACGTTTTCTAAATGTTGATTCTTAAAAAATGCCAAAGACCCTTCATTTTTAAAATCACACTGTTTCGTGTCGAAACCAAGGCTCCCAAAATAGAATCAATGATTAAGAAAATATGTTATATAATGTATAAAATACATTGCTATGTGCTTTATCAATGAGCTCCTTCTTCACACAACTGTGCAATATCATTGTTGACAACAGATAAATAAACATTTAAAGCTGAATGGAATGGGACTGTGGATTCCAGTGATGGTGATACGTGTTTCTAATATAATCTGCGGTCGACTCGTGAGAAAAAATGTAATAAAAGTAGTTAGAGGAACACTGGTGAGCAATACTGAGCATACTGCACTCCTGCTGAGGGAACATGAACCTGGACTAATAGACCATGATCACCCATTTGTATGCATGGGTTCTCATGTGCTACAGCAGTGGTTCCCAAACTTTTTGTGCCCAAGGCACACCAAAGGACAAGTAAAAATCTCAAGGCACACCTATTGTGCAAAATAGCCCTTATAACACGTGTTATCACTCATATCATGTAAAATATCTGTAAATGTGCATAATTATTTACTAATGCAAAATAAAATGTGACAAAGACAACTATATTACTCACGAAATATTTATTAATGAAATATTTCAGAAATTAATTTGAAACTTTATCAAATTAGGCTTCATCAAAGCAGCAACACACTCATTTAAACCAGACAGGTCACAAAATTAAAAATGAGGCAAAGGAAACTCAGCAGAAATTCATCACAGTGAACTGTCAATGCAAGGAAGCTGCATTGTCCATGGTCCTGAACTACACATTATAAATGTAACATTTCAGCAATCAGCATTGAAACATGTGCTATTGTAAATATTTTGCCGACTTACAAATTAGTGAGATACATGTGCCTGTCGGGGCGCGCAGAATTTTGTAATCCTTGGTGGCACTGAGGAGAGGGCCACTCGCAAGTCCTGTTCAACAGAGAGCCGTGACCTCCTGTTGTTCTTCATGTAAATCAGAGTAGAGAACGCCAACTACAGAGATGGGGTCGTTACTAAAAAAATGTAATATATTACATATTACTTAAAAAAATTAAATAATATATTACACTACTTCGTTACTATCTACATAAAGTAACTTGTTACTTTACTCGCCGAGCCAGTACGAACTGCGCATGCGTGAGTGGCAATAACTTTCCTTTACCAGCAGGCGGCGGTAGTGTGTATTTGTCATTCAAAACAGGCAACAACCGGAAGACAGAGAAGAAGAACAAACTACGTGATATAAACAAAAAAGCATGTGTTCTTTGCAGGTGTTTGTTGAGGTTTGACCACGTGGAGATGTGGACGCACAAGTCGCGCAGATTACGTACATATAAACCTACAAAGTACTGATATAGTAAATTAAAAAAATATTATTTGTGTGTAGTTGTATATTGCAATAATAACGTATGGTTGTCACAAAATCCCAAGGCACACCCGGACTTGCCTCACGGCACACCAGTGTGCCGCGGCACACCGTTTGGGAACCACTGTGCTACAGTATGCATGCTGAATACAAATCCCCATCCGCTGTGCTATGTGGTGGTTGCTTTGATTTCTATACATTTCCTTTTTTTCATGTCATTTCTGATTTAGCAGATGGCATGCCATTAACAGAGCATGTGGTGGATATATTATTAAAAACAGCATTTCAGTATTTCATTTTGTCTGATTTTCAGAGGGTAGATTAGTGCTGCATGTGTGTAGTTCTGTAAATCATTAATAAATTAATGAACATTAAGAGTAAGAACTTAAACTGTTGATGTCTGCATCACTAGTGTTCATAAGACCTCACTGAAGCTGAACAATTGCAACTAAGTGTTGGGTAATGGTATGAATTATTTGTCAAAAGGTAAGACACTCATGTCATGATCAGAATCAGGTTTAGTACCAGGTAGGTTTGCACATTACAGAGAATGTGCTTTGGTGTATATTTGGTGCATAGAAAAACACATCAAGAGGAATACAATTGTGAAAACAGAGCAAATAAAAAACGATTTCTTATATAATGATTTACTCTATACAATTTGAAGCAGGAGCTCTACCCTCTAATTATAGCAACAGCAAATGTACTTTCACCATCACCACCACACCAAAACATAATTATATATAGATAACAAAATACTAAATCAATGTCTCATTCAGGGAAATCCAATGACCATCAACCAATAACTGACTGATGGCCAACACTGTAAGACATGAAACTCAGTCTGAAAGGATACAGGTGACATCTTTCAACACTGCTATGAGGTTTGTTCAAATTCTCTCTCACACACACAGTTCTCAAAACCACGTTTAGAGCTGATGACAACTCCTCCGCTGGAGTATTTAGGGCACTCAAACAGGTGCAGCACAAACAGCCCGAGTCAAAGCACCGTTAGATTAGCCCTTTGAACCTATAAATATCATAATACATTTAAAAATGATTTCCTCTTGACAATATCAACAATCTTATTTTGTTTTCCGGTTTTGTGTGGGGGATTAAACTGTCTGATATCTGAACTACTGTAATGTTGCATCACCACAAATGTAAATCTGGAACACAGTTTAA